GCTAACACAAATTCACACACTAATCCTTGGTAGAAAAGGTTTTGGATGGTTTTATGACCACATATCATCAAGTCAAACAGTCTGCAAAGCTGGCCAAGGCAGATGTTTTTTCTTGCAGTGTTGTATCAGGATACAATGGGCAAGCAAAAGAACGGTAGAAGGGCAAAAGTCTGAGACAGCCCAGCCCACTGTCACAAGCATGCCTCAGATGCATTGTAATCTGCCCTCCTCCTGTAATGCAGTGAGTAGGAGAGGCAGGCAAGCTTTTCAAATAACTTTCATTGCAGTTACAAATATGATGTGTCAGACCACAGTTATGATTTACCACTTCCCACCCAAGTCACAGTCGGTATCTGGCACATAAAATCACGTAGAAAGCAGAGGTAGGACAAAGGTGGCAGGCTGTTACCAAGCAGTGCTGGCAGGATATACTGGGATGTGCGTGCAAAGGAGAGAATCTGAGTCACATGAAGAAAACTGGGGTAAGCAAAACCACCGTTGGCTGAACAAACGAACCTAACATGCTGTAAACCACCCTGATCACCTGCTCTAACTGAGCTAAAGAAAAAAAAAACAAAACAAACTACCAAACAAAAAAACCCCCTCAAACACCAAAAAATCCTAGTTGTACCTAATTGAGATATTGCACCTAAAATTTCACAAATGTCTTCTGAAATGGCATACTTCCTTTCCTATTTTTGTTGGAAATACTGATATTCTCAAGACTACATTTTTCTTTTTCATGGCTTCTTCACTGTAGTTGGCTTCTTGTAAGCTGGCCTTTCAGTCATTTATTTCAGAAAAGCTCTCTCCTATAGCAGAAACTTTTGTTATTTGAACCTTGAATCATTTCCCATTTTGTTCAGATGCTCTGATTTCTCTCTGCATTGGAAAGAGATATTTAAATCACTAGCTACATTAGAGAGACTGCCTTCCTTATAATGCCTTGACTTTCAGCACTAGCCCCATTTATGACTTATCTTTAGCTAGTTCTCTACAACATTTCTTCTGCTAATCCCCTCCTCCAGTTCACCTAATAATTGCCTATGTAGTCCATTTTCAAATAGTGCATTTCTCACATTGACCTGTTATCCACATTGTTTTATTTCATTCTAAGAACCTGTGGTTGACTGAGATCACAGGAACAAGCTTGTGGTTTTCTGTCACATTTTACACTTCTCTGAAACATAGATATTACCTTTGCTGTTCCCTATTTCTGTAATATCAACTCTAAACTAAGAATTTGATTTAAAAACTTTGCCACCAAACCTACTGTTTTTTGCTGTTTCCCTCAAAGTCCAATGATGGAGGTTATCTGTTCCTCCATTCGTAACACCTGAGCTCCATGTAGATAACTTCATTTGCATTAACTTCTGCCTTTATGCCCTAGTTCTTGAAAATGGAGGCAACACATTCACTTAGGTTTCGGAAAGAAAGATACAACATCTTTAATGTTCACCCCATAATGTTCTAATTCCTTACTTCTTCATTTTTTATATAACCAGTGAAGGTTTCATCCTTTTCTCATGAGCTTTGAAGTCTTAAGTTCACTTGGAGTTGCAAAAATCTTGCTTTTACCTCTATAACTTATAATTTCCTTTTTTCATTTTCCCATTTTTCTCCCTCTATTCCCTGTTTGGTATTAGGTTCCTTTACCCCTGGATTATTCATTCAGTTATATTAGCAGCCCTTTTCTGTTTGTTTTTCTCTCTTCTTTCTTGGAATAGAAGTTTAAGGTATTTTCCATAGTTGGTTGAAATTCATACACACATATTCAAATCCTGAGATTGGCTGTCTTTGCTATTTAGCTCCTTCAACTCATCAAGGCTTCTCCCTTTGAAATAAATAATAAAAGAATCTTAGCAGTTTAACTTTGCCTATACTGCCTTTTGATTGAAATGTAACTGACTCATAATCCATTCCTCTACAAATATTTGCCATGGCCAGCTGTTTTATAACCTAAGATCCCACAGCAGCTCCATTCCTACTTTCTTCTCTGTCTTCCTTCTCTCCTCATTCTCTCCTCAAGAGAAATACCATCTCTCTGGGAACATCTGATTTCTGATAAGCAGAAATTCCTTACCCAGTTAATGGATGCTCTGACTTGCCCCCTCAAAGCCCCTCAACTAAGCTAAGCCCATACACTGATATTCAGCCCAGGTGCAAGTTATCTGAGTGCCTTCATCTTGCACACAAACATGGGAACTGCGTGTCAGAGCTCTGCCTCTTCCAACACAACAGCTCCTGTTGCTCATTAATACTGAACTCCATTGTCAGCATAGCCTGTAGAGCTATTTGGAAGAAAGGTGTAGGTGACCTGAATAGCTCTGTGTTCTATGCTCTGACTCTGTTAGTGAAGCACAGGCATCCAAGGTCACTAAGATGACCTTGAGAAGCCTACCTATGTTTGAGATGCTTTTCCAGAAAGGTGTGGTGCTCTTGTAGGTCCTGAGTCATGTCTGCAAGTTTAGTAAAGGCATCTTGACCTCTGGCAACATAAATTGTATCAGAAACCTACACTTAAGCATCTGAATCAAACTCTGCCTTTCCAATAAATATAGAGGGGACTTTGTCACCTTGTGCTCATGAAGACACCTACATTCATAAGCCTGAATTTTTATCTCAGGAGTCTGGAGAAGACTAAATCAGGTCTGGGATGTTCTTAAACATGTTGTCTCTGTTAGAAAGTTTCTTTCACTCAGCTTCAAATATTGTTTCTGATAAGAAGAAATTTAAATTAAGACATGAAAAGGCAAGACTGGAAATGTCTTTCCTACACATCACTTTGTGCAGACTGAGAGAGGAAAGTGAGGCGAAGGAAGATACAGTAGTGGAGAAAACAATGTCAGTGGTAGGATGAACACCCAGACAAGAAATGAAAAGTGAAAATGAAAAGTATTTATGAGAAAGAGGGTAAAGCACTTAGTGATATGAGTCTGCTGAGTCATGGTAGGGACCTGAGTGTGGTGATGAGAAATTACTTTATAAGAAGGGTTTGGAGGATTTTAAGCTAATTCAGCATGAACTCTTAAAAGAGAATATAACTGATGTCCATGTATTTCAAACCAGTGTGGAGGAGGAGGAGGTAAACACGAAAGAGAGAGAGAGAGAAAGGAACTATTATGGTGAATCCTGGCGTAATACCAAGTGGATTAATAAAATGCAAACTGCAAATTAAGGAGATGTCCTTGTCCATTACAGCTGTGAAGGTCTCCAGATGAAAGTGGTGGGTTCCAGAAAAGCCTACTGGCTTTGCAAAACAGAGCTTGAGCAGCTCAGGAAAGGTAGTGGAGGATGTGATGGCAGAAGGCTTTCCTTCAACAACCATTGGGATGTATTTTATAAGTCCCCACAACAGTCCCCAATCTAGGCAGCATGGAGGTGAAATAAAGCTTTTCCTCTTCCCTATGTTGCACAAACATGCAGCCCAGAGTCTGACCAGGCTGTCAAGTAGTGGTGGTGATGGCACCTTCCCTTTCACTGACAGAGAAAAAAAGAAGTCATGAACAGCATCACTGACAACACATCAGGCCACGGACCAATGTTTATTTGCTTTTTCCATTTACAGTACTCAATAAGGAATGTTAATGGAAAGTTGTTTAAGCTTAACAGACAAAAGCTAAACTCATGAATAAGAGGTCTTGGAACATTTTCATTTGAAATTTCCTTCTTGTTCCTCTTACTCCCTCCATCTCTTCCTTTCTTTCCTATTAAACTGAAGTCAATTTCCCTAATAAAATCCAAGGCTTTTAAAGCCAACCTAACGCTCATGATTGCTATCTTTCACTGAATAAACAAAATGCTTTATACCTTCTGTCAGAGGCACAGACTTCTCTTATTTGAAGGGGAGAGTGTAAGCAACACTTTAAACACTATTTGTGAACACAGGCTGATGAAAGCTGAAAACTGTGAGAAAAACTGAGCTGCTCAATCCTCATCCTTTATCAGGAACTGGGGAGATAATGAAACCTGACATATCCCACTTCTTTCCTTGATCAGCTCCTGATTGCTGGGGTACACAAAGAGGAACTCAATAAAGGCAAGGTGGTCCATAACAGACTGATCCTGCAAAACCTCAGGTAGCTCCTAGGTGCTTTCCATGGAATCAGGCCCTAAGTGCCACTGCCAATACAAAGAGATAACCCACTCAGATAGCCAGATAGATTGGCAGAAGCCTTGGGCGATGCAGAAAACTTGTCCCATGAGTAGTTATGGGAATCTGACTCTGACAGATAGAATATCCACAAAGCACAGCTGAGAAAGATGGACATTTCTTATCAGGCATTGCCCTGACACCAAATGCTCCCCTAGAGATGAACCCCCTTTTCACAAGCCACCTGGAAACATCCTAGAGGGAGGGGAGGCTACCCTGAGTTGCCTTTTGGGGTGATTTAGCCAGAATGAAATACTCCCTTTGAACCTGTAGCAGCCTTGTGTTTGCTCTGACACTGATACACATTCCTACAGCCCACTGAAGAAAATAGAGAATTACAGGAGAGGCACAGCTCCTCATTGAAATGTCTCCTTTGGCCTGTTAAATTGAAATAAAGAGAAAAAAAAAAAAAAAGCACACTGATTGAGATGCAGAAGTTTAATGGCACACATGTTTCCAATGTATTTTATAACAGCCACAACAAAATGTAATTACTCAGTGTAGGCAGGCATGCCTCTGAATGGCTCAATAAAAGTCCAGACAGGCTGTGCAGACCATTAGCATGGTTGCTCTCTGTTGCCGTGTGCTGTCACTGAGATGGGGCTGGTGCAGGAAGGGAATATGAAGATAGAGAGACCTGGAGATGATGAACAAATCACAGAGCTGCCTGTTTTCCAATCTGGGATCTTCACTGGGTCATAGTTGCTGCTGGCAAATTTGCGTTCTGCAGAGCCATGGCAAAGAGAAGGAGTAAACAGCATTTGAGTTAAGGGCTCAGGTGTGAGGGCTCAGCTGTATTATGAGGTCAGCCCAGTGAACAGAATCTTCTCTTTCTTTCTTACATTAGAGAATGACCATTCACAGCAGAAACAAAGACTGCACTTAAGTCTCTTGGGCATCAGCAAGTTGCTCTGACATAATCTCACCTTCATTTTCCAACAAATGGGGTCTGTGAGCCTCCAGAGGTCCTGACAACTGCAGTAAAGTCATGTACTTCTCCAGAGAACTGGGAATGATGATGAGTTTGAAAAGGAATCCAGAGACAGCCTGTGAATTCCCCTGTCCATGGCTGAACAAGGTGCAGGATTTCCCTTTCCCTCTACTGCACATACTGTTTATTTCTAAGCAAAGTGCAGATTAGCTCAAATTAAAGGAACTGAGTCAGCAGCAGATCTTAAGACAGCTGCACACCATATTACATTACACCTGCAATGTCAGATTGATATAGTACAGAATCCCGTTTCTTGAAAAATCAGACACAATCCCAGGTCACACTGACTTTCCAAGTGTTCATGAGTACAAAGAAATGATGATGTGCATTCATGAATCACACCCTATTTACAGCTCTCATAAAATACCAGCCTCTCAGCAATAAAAAGATTAAAAGCCCCTGTGCCCCAGGATAAAAGTTCTATTCAGCCAATAACCCATAAACTGATTTCCAAGGCCTGCTTGTTGAAATTAGGCTTGCAGGACAGGATTTTCCTAGGAATTGTTTATCTTCTTGGTTCTACCTGAAGACTTGGGCACCGCCTTTTATTTCAATACTTAGGTGCCACTTTAATGAACATGTCTCCTGAGAAGTTTTTAGTCAATAAAATCTCTTGTATTTTTCTGCTAACTAGGTACTGAAAATCCAGTTACAGTCAGATGTTCACATCCTAATGAGAGCTAAGTTTTTGAGTGTTACTTGGTGTTACACAGTCTCTGTGCATTTAAAAATTCATTTGGGCACGTCTTTCAGCATCTGAATTCCAGTCTGTTCTGGATAATAATAATAATTCATTTCATCGATTTCTGCTGCATTTCTACTCAGGGTAAATAATAAGGCAGCACTGTGTCATGGATTCAAACCGAGACTCCAGCTCTTAACAATGATTGAAAGCCCCCACGGGTGTGTGGAGAAGTCAGAGACAACAGCACATCAATTATGAAGCCCTGCACTTTATCTACTGCTGGCAAAAGAAAAGGTTAATTATCTAAAAATAAAGCAACTGTATGCTGGTGTAGGAGGGTGAACTCGAAGGAGGGCTGTGGAACAAACAAGATAAGGTTGTGATCTACAATGTTAGAAGACTGAAGCTGAAACTGTCCAGTATAACCTATCACCCACAGGCAAATTGCATGCCTGAAAACTCTTGACTAAAATAAATGGACTACGTCATGTCTTTTAATAAGCCTTTTCTGACTCTGACATTGAAACCAACAGGTGCCCAGGAACCAAAGACATTCATACCCATTTAGCTACTCCAAGGCTGTACATGTTCAAATGACTTATCACAGCACAGCAAGCCAAGGACTTGAGGACTGAGATCAGAGCTGAATTTCTTTAATATTTCTGCTGCCAGTAACTTTTTGCAGGTGTGAATTTGAGACCACATCTCTCCAAAGCACTGTTATGTTTAGGGTTTTACTCTCCATGAGCATCCATGAATCACAAAAGATCTGGGGAGTTGAGGAAGCACCAGAAAGTTTGGGATGAGGTTCACCACTGCAGACACACAGGCAGGGAGCTGGCATCCTTCAGTGTTTGTTGAGACTGTTGTACTAGAGAAAAACTCAGTAACCATCAGTGGCTCTGCCATGGGAATCCAAACAGGCAAGGCTACTACATAAGAAGAGCAAGAAAGAAGCTACACTCATCTAGTTTGCCTTCCTTACTTTGAAGGCCTGCCAGGCAGCCGAGGACCTGACAAATAGGCCCCAGCTACATATTTATGGCAGCAACTCCTCCAGCCTGGGAGCTAAGAGAGCATGAGGCATATGGAGTTAATACCACTGAGTGAAAAGGAAAATCACCAATAAGTCCAATAGGACTCTAACAGAGTCTTTAATATAGACCTTAAACACAGAGCCTGGAATATGTTTCTTTAATGTTAATTTTTTCAAAGTCCTTCATTCCACTGGAACAAAATTTTGAGGGTCCATGAATACTTTGGGTTTTATAGCAGCTGAAATGATCAAAAATCATTACAGGTGTTTGCTGAATTCTATGCAACTCCCTCCAAGGAAAGAAGGGTGAAATGCCATCTCTGTATAAATAAAAGACCTGAGGCACTAAGATGCTAAAATTACTCAGTTAATTGCACATCACCAATCTATGGGGTTGGCAAATTTCTCATCTCTTGTCTTTGAGCAGGTCCCTAAGTCATATAATAGTCATAGCTGCATCATAAAAAGAAAATTATGATTTTGGATTAGGTTTTCAGGTCAGTGTACTAAATACTGCTGCTAACAGTATTATATTTACATTGTTTCAGTTTGACTGAGCTAGAAATGTATTCCATTATATTCTTCATATTTTTGTTCAGGGCAAATACACATGGCCATAGATGAATGCTTGAGAATTCCCATGGGGTCACAAGAACAGGTCTGCAGAAGGGAATGGCATCCTCTGAAGTCACTCCTCTGGCTGCCTTCTTAGCACAAGTGGCTACTGTTGCTGTGATGAGAAGAAATCAGTGAGTAATATAATTCTATATAGATAGTCTTGCTCCACTGAACACAGGATGGAAGTGGTCTTTCCCCCATACATTTGCTTCAATTTCTAAAGAACTATAAGTTGTCTTTCTCAGCACAGACTGTCCCCAACACGCGGGTGGGTTACCAACACCTTCCTAGATGCAACTGCAAAGCACAGCACTTCTGTGTGGAGTGGTAAACCCATTCCAGCCAGACCCACTACCTGGGTGTCAGTGGTTACATCATGTGGGACACATTCATCTGGCATGTGTTGATGTGTCCTTGCCAAAAGAGGAGAAAAGGAAAACTAGGGTTAGTTTGAAGTTTTGGCTGGCTGGGATCATGATGTCAGTGTAATATCATCCCACGTGCATGCACAAACTCACAGTACAGATATGAACTGTACTGTGGAGGCAAAAGTTGTATTTTATCAGAGGCACTTCCACGTGAGCTGCATGTACTCATCATGTCTGCAAATGAGAGTTATTTAGAGACACTTGTACAGACTTAGGAAGTCAAGCCCACCTTAAAGATATTGTCATACACGTGATGAGCTAAACCATGGCAACATGCAGAATTCTTGCAAGTAAAATTGCTATAAAGAAAGAAAATCAGCCAGTTTTCCACTTTCACATTATTACTCATTTCATTGGAGTCTTGTTACTTGAAATGCAATGTCATTCGCCAACCTGTGTCTGTTACTAAAACCTGGGGCATGTACACTCTCTTACTCTTTTGCTGGAGAGTTATGCTCTTTCCCAGCTAATACAGGTCACTGGAAAGCTCCAAACTGATCCTCCTCATCGTTGTTCCTGAATATACAGCCTCTGCACTTGTGTGCGGAAGCCCTCTTTTTTGATCTGAATGAAAATGAGTTTCAGCACACAGCTGGGGCACTAGTGTTTAAGGTTAAGGATTGCAACAGTTATTCAACAGAGAATAGCTTTGCTGTTTGCCAGGTGCCTCAGACACATTCCCATCATCCTTAACACCAGTCTAACACATAGCAGACACTTGTGCCTATTTACAGAGCTTAAATGCAAACAATAGTCTGAAAGGATCTTGATACAGGGGAAGAAGACAAAAGCACAAGCACTTATTTGCTTACCAGCAGATCAGCTCCAAGAATTACTTCTTTCACTCTCACCTAATAAGTCATATCTAAGGACCCACTTTTCACCTAAGATTCATGTCTTTAATACTCTTTCCTGACAGAAAACCTCAGCCCATTTACTTCCCCTTCCTTGGGGTCCCCTGGGATTCTCTTCAACTTCAAGTCACTTCTCACTCCTGGGATTATCGATATCAATTTATTCTGGAAACATTTTCCACACTGCTACCCCAAGGCTAGTGTCTGCCTTCAGCTGTCTAGGAACGCTGATGGCTTTTTTTGCGGGCAAAGGCCATCCTTTCCCATCCTGGTAGCAAACTGATATCTCTGTTAATGACCTGGATGAACTGCCAGAAAGTCATTAACATCTGTTAGGGTAAAATGCTTTCCCACCTGGTGAAGTCATACTCCTCAGATTGCACTCCACTTCATATTGCAATCTGCTCAATAAATAAGTAATTTCCTGCGACACACACACAGACAATCATGCTTTATACAAAGAAATAGAAATGGATTCAATGATATGTCTCGTTGCCAGTGCGAAATGTGACAATAATCACTATTTTAGGTTGTTAATTGCGATACCATTCTCAAACACGATGAGACTGGTGTTCTCTAGGTCAGAAAAGTTGCAGGATTTTTGAGTTTGACCCTTCTTCCTTTTGGAAGTCATTAGCATCTGTGTGCTGTCTGAGCATCAGCTGACAAGGGAGTTGCTTGTTCCTAAGAGAGTTTCTTTTTCTATAGGGAAGCTGTTGATTTACAAGACACTAGCAACTCATCAGGAGCTTTCTGAGTGATGGCCAACCTTCTCTTCAGAGACAGGGCTGCTGATTTAATATTCTAGCTGGAGGTAAGAGTAAATCCATGACATCTTGGGACCACATGAGCAACTTGTATGTAGTGGTGCTGGAGAGGGGTGGTGGCATGAGAAAAAGATCCCTTTTTTGCTCTGTATATTTTAACTAGACTTGCCTTCCTGGGTGTATGGTGAGTACTGAACTTATAAACACAGCCGCCTATACGCTTCAGCCATGTGAGCTAAATGTTTATGTACATGGGTGGGTGGGTTTATCTCCCCGAAATGTGGTCATTTAAAGTCAGGAGTTGGTTTCTTCCATATCAGCATCTAAGACAGGGCACTGCAGAGGGTGATTCACTATGCTACTCCTAGATACTATGACAAGATGGGATGAACTGCCCTTTGGGGTATCCCTGTGAGTTGTAGAAGGGGTCTCGCTGACAAGATTAGAGGGATAAATGCTCTCAGAGATGTGTGTGTGCCTTTTGCCCCCTTTGCAGGGTACCAAAGGAGGGATCATAACCTGACATGTCATGCCTGCTAAAACGGTCAGGACTTTTTACAGAGGATTTCATCAGCCATATTCCTCCACTTTTTATTATTATTTTTTCATGATTATTAAGATCAGTGCCCTTCACCACACATTTGACAGGAAAACAGTGGGTCCCTCTAACAGCACCTCTGCTGTGTGATAAAGCATTTGCAAAGAGAAATGTCCCATGAGCATGCCCTCTCCCAGCTGTTCTGGTGCCCACTGGCAATGCCAGCTGCTCAGGGTTGCATGCTGAAGCTACTGAGAACAGCAAGGCAGGGATTTTCCAGAGGGCTACCAGGGAATTAAATGTCTGGATTCCTTTCACATTCCACAGGCGCTTGTCCGATGAGTTGTGCCTCCAGGTTCATTTTCCAGTTCAGCTCTGGTACTGGAAAAACGCTCAGTTGAGAGGAATATACCCACTTGCCAGGCTGTCAGAGGGTGCCAAGAGCAACTTTAGCAGGGTTTATCAGACAGACAGCCAGGGTACTAGCACAGAACTATCTCAGGAATCTCAACACTGTTACCACAAACCTATCTTGAGTTTTGATTTTGAAAATATGTTCCTCTTACTCAGAAGAAACATCAGATAAATTATGCAGTTTTGCCTCTCCCAAGAGTGAGCCAACAGCTACAATAGCTAAAGGCACCTCGTGGCTGTGCTTTTCACATTTCAGCACGGTAACAGCTGAACACTGAAATGCACAACTGAAAAGAGTTGGGGAATTAAATGAAAATGCCTCCTGATGGTCTGTTGAGTCACAAAACCTGTCCTTATCATGGTTAAGGAAAGAAATCAGTGGCACTAGGTGCTCTGCATATCATTCAGTAGCTAGAGGCACAACATTTTAGAAGGCTCCTAAGGTGCCGTATCTCCCCTTGCATATGAGAAGCTCTGCTAGCCTGGTGGGGCAGCATCCAGCAGCATTCACGAGCTATTGTTTTCTGATAGAATTAATTACAAAATAGTTTTGGTTGGAAGGGACATTTTAAAGGTCATCTAGTCCAACTCCCCTGCAAAAAGACCCTTCAACTAGCCCAGGTTGCTCAGAGCTCCATCCAACCTGAGCTTGAATGTTTCCAGGGATGGGTAAAACAGAGTCAGGTAAGTACATTAGCCAATTCCATCAAACTTTTGCTCAAATTTTATCAGGCCTTTACTTAGGTCACACTTATGCTCTGTTCCTTTTTGACATTCCATGCTCTTCTCTCCCAGAAGCTAAAGATAGATTATCAGTTTCAATTTTTTTCATAGAGTTTACCTGAAAAAGCCAGGATAGAAGCTTTTGACATTATCTAAGCTCTATGAGTAATGGTAGCAATTGAATGCTAGGAAACTGGAAACAGCTGCTACCAGATACACTCATATAATTCATATTCATGCATCTAACTCATATTCTAATTAAATAAGAAGTTAAACTCCCTCTAGGTGTTGTGCTTAGAGCTTGTCTTTCCCTGAGCAATGCAACAAATAATTTCTTTGCAAATCAACAGGAGACACTAACTTCCAGAATGTAAGGCAGTTTGTTCAACCATAGTTATTTACACTCTGAATATTTTATAATATTCTGACTATTATAGAATAATTTGTATCCTAATAAGAATTAGTTTTGCACATAAAACTTCACAAAATTAGAATATGTAAAAAAAAAACCTCTTGAAAGAATCTCAAATTAAGTAACAAGTGTTAGAAAAAAATTATATTCACTTGGAAATCCAGTCAATTAATAAGGGAATTTTTCAATATATATTCAGAATTTTCCTATACTGCATACTTCTCCAGCCAAGGGTGAATCCTTAATGGATTTTTTTGGGTGATATTTAAAAAAAAAAAAAAAGATTTGTTTTTCTGAATCAGAACAACAACAATAAAAAGTTAAAATATGAATCCTCCCTTGGATTGGAAATCCCAGCTGTGGAGGCAGAGATACAATGAAAAATACTTTGTGTGATTGTTAGTATTCTATTATTCATTGTCTGTCCTCTGGGACAGCTAGTGTTATACACTGATATTTGTCCTTGTTTTGCACTCTGTGTGGGGAACACTTGTGTGTCTCCACTATTAAGTCTACAGAAATGCAAACACAACTAAAGTCCATGCACCACCTCTGTGGACTCCAGATACTACTAGTAA